TCTGATTTCGGTGTTGACCATCTGGTGATGTCCATGTGTAGAGTCTTCTCTTGTGTTGTTGGAAGAGGGTGTTTGCTATGACCAGTGCATTCTCTTGGCAAAACTCTATTAGCCTTTGCCCTGCTTCATTCTGTACTCCAAGGCCAAATTTGCCTGTTACTCCAGGTGTTTCTTGACTTCCTACTTTTGCATTCCAGTCCCCTATAATGAGGAGAAGGAAATGGCAACCCACTCCAGTGTTCTTGCTTGGAGAATCCCATGGACAGAGGACCCTAGTGGGCTACAGTCCATAGGGTTGCAAGAGTCAGACACGACTGAGTGACTAAACCACCACTCCTATAATGAAAGGACATCTTTTTTGTTAGTTCTAAAAGGTCTTGTATGTCTTCATAGAACCATTCAACTTCAGCTTCTTTGGCATTTCTGGTCAGGGCATAGACTTGGATTACCATGATATTGAATGGTTTGCCTTGGAAACAAACAGACATCATTCTGTCATTTTTGAAATTGCATCCAAGTACTGCATTTCGGACTCTTTGGTTGACAATGATGGCTACTCCATTTCTTCTAACAGATTCTTGCTCACAGTAGTAGATATAATGGTCATCTGAGTTAAATTCACCCATTCCAGTCCATTTTAGTTCACTGATTCCTAAAATGTTGACATTCACTCTTGCCATCTCCTGTTTGACCACTTCCAATTTGCCTTGATTCATGGATCTAACATTCCAGGTTCCTATGCAATGTTGTTCTTTACAGCATCGGACCTTGCTTCCATCACCAGTCACATCCACAACTGGGTGTTGTTTTTGCTTTGGCTCCATCTCTTCATTCTTTCTGGAGTTATTCTCCACTGATCTCCAGTAGCATGTTGGGCACCTACTGATCTGGGGAGTTCATCTTTCAGTGTCCTATCTTTTTGCCTTTTCATACTGTTCATGGGGTTCTCAAGGCAAGAATATTGAAGTGGTTTGCTATTCCCTTCTCCAGCGGACCACATTTAGTCAGAACTCTCCACCATGACCTGTCCGTCTTGAGTGGCCCTACAAGGCATGGCTCATAGTTTCATTGAGTTAGACAAGGCTGTGGTCCATGTGATTAGATTGGTTAGTTTTCTGTGATTGTGGTTTTCAGTCTGTCTGCCCTCTGATGGAGAAGACTAAGAGGCTTATGGAGAGACGGATAACTGGTACTAACTTGCAATCAATCTGCTACAGATATTTAGAATGTAAATCCAGAGAACTCTGTAACCCGCTATGTGTTCACTGAAGGAGCTGAGGAGTGGGAGAAGGTCAAGGGTGATTCTGTGGTTCAGTTACCTGTCTAGCAATCTTTTCTGTTTCACTGTGGTAAGATACACCAGAAAACGTACTGTTTCAACCATTTTTTGAAAGTGTGTATTTCAGTGGCCCCAAGTACTTCCACATTGTTATGCTACCATCAGCACCACCTTTCTCCAGGAGTTTTTCATCTTCTCCAACTGAAACGCTATATCCATCAAAGTCTAACTCCCCACTGTGTACTGCCCCCAGTTGCTGGAAACTATCATTCTACTTTCTGTCTCCATTAATTTGGCTACTCTAGGGGGCTCATATGAATGGAATCGTACATTATTTGTCCTTTTGTGACTGGCTTATTTAAACATAAAGTCTTCAAGGTTCATTCATCTTGTAGTATAGGTCAGAATTTCCCCCCATTCTAAGGCCGAATAACATTTCATTGTGTATATATTCCACATTTCATTTACTCACTTATCTAACACTGGACACATAGGTTGTTCCTACCTTTTGGCCATCGTGAATAACACTGCTATGAACACTGGTGCACAAATATCTTTTTGATTCCTATTTCCTCTTCTCTCCAATATGTATGCAGATGTGAAATTGCTGAATCATACAATTATTCTATGTTTCATTTTTTGAGAGGCTGCCATACTGTTTTCCACAAAGGCTGCATCATTTTACATCCCAACCAGCTGTGCACAAGTGTTTCAGTTTCTCTCCATCCTCATCAACCTTTTTTTTTTTTTTTTGATGGTAGCCATCCTAATGGATATGTGGTTTTGATTTGCATTTTGCTAATGATTAATGATGGCTCAATGGTAAAGAAGCTTACTGCCAAGGCAGGAGACGCAGGAAACGTAGGTTCGATCCCTTGGTTGGGAAGATCCCCCGGAGAAGGAAACGGCAGCCCTCTCTAGTATTCTCGCCTGAAAATTCATGTACAGAGCAGCCTGGAGGGCTGCAATCCATAGGGTCACAGAGAACTGTACACAACTGAGCCACTGAACACACACGCATACAACGATTAGTGATATTGACTATCTTTTCATGTGCTTATTGGCTTATTTGTATACCTTCATTGGAGAAATGTCTAAGTTCCTTTGCCCGTTTTTAAATCCAGCTTTTTTTTAGTATATTTTTGAAAAGTTAGTTTATTTATTTTTGGCTGTGCTAAGTCTCTGCTGTGCACAGGCCTTCTGCAGTTGTGGAGCAAGCGGTGGCTCCTCTTGTTGCGGAGCACAGGCTCTAGGCACACGTGTGTCAGTAGTTGTGGCCCACGGGCCCCAGACCAGGGATTGAACCCGCGTCCCCTGCGTTGGCAGGCGGATTCTTAGCCACTGGACTACCAGCGAAGTCTCTAGTTGTTTGCTTTTTGTTGTTGAGTTGTAGGAGTTTTCTGTATATCAATTCCTTATTAAATATATGATTTGCAAATACATACTCCCATTCTGTGGGTTGCCTTTTTACACTATTGATGGTGCCCTTTGATGCATAAATGTTTTTAATTGGGATAAAGTACAATTTACCTATTTTTTCTTTTGATACAAAATTCTCTCTTAACCTGTGGGCTAGGAGTGCTCCGTTAACACTGACGTAGCTTGGTGATGCTTCTGGAACTTCCTAATTCAGTGTGGGGGCCATTCTCCAAACGGACCTCAGTGTTGAAAACACCTGACTTCCCAATGCCCCCTGAAGAGGGTGATGCTCCCAGTAGAGCTTGGAACAAAATCCAGGGTATTTCTGGTAAAAAGATTAGGAACATGAAAAGGAGCAAATATCTGGGCATGGAAGCTAATTGCTGGTGAGGCCTCACCTGCCACAGCCCCTGTGGTTCACCCCACTCTTGACTCTGGACTGCAGGTCCCAGAGGCTGCAGATGAAAGAGGAGACGGATTCCAGCATCTTCATGTCAGCCCCTAGCTTGGACAGCTGCGTGGAACAGGCCCCTTATTCCACCAGGGGAAGGCGGCCTAGCCATCTGGTTGGCAGGAGTCAGGCCATGCTTAAACCAGGTTCTCTGGCTTTGAAGATGATTCCTGCAGGACCAAATAGTGCATTTCCTTGACAGGAGATGCTGTCAGGTTTTAAAGCCATCATTCTCCAGTGAGACCGGATGGTTCTCTTCTTGTCTGTAAACTCTTTTAAGGTGGGGCTTGGTTTCAGTTCTAATAAGATGAAACTCTATGCGCTTTACACCAAAAAATAATTTTTAATTGAAATTTTTATTGATTCACAATGTGTTAATTTCTGCTATATAGCAAACTGATTCAGTATGGTCTGTACAGATATGGGCATATTTATATATGGACTTCCTGGGTGGCTCAGACAGTAAGGAATCTGTCTGCAATGCAGGAGACCCAGGTTCAATCCCTGGGTCAGGAAGATCCCCTGGAGACGAAATGGAAACCCACTCTAGCATTCTTGCCTGGAGAATCCCATAGACAGAGGAGCCTGGTGGTACAGTCCATGGGGTAGCAAAGAGTCGGACACAACTGAGCGACTAACACACTATATACATATATATTCTGTGCATGGGCTTCTCTGTTGGCTCAGAGAGTAAACA